AGCGATACAAATAGAGACAGAAAGATTATCACCATGCCACAGTTTGACAGTACATAAAGAACAAAGATGTAACTCCGCAGCATCTTGGATCTTGGAGTTTTCAAGTATTTTCAAGAATAAATAGGCATTTTTTTATGCTTGATTAGCTTAAACTGAGTTGAATGTGATCACACATAGTGACCGCCATTACTGACACTATGCAGCACAATCGCGGTATAATTGAGCCGCTCTTGGTATGCTAAGTCGAAAATTCAAGCAGGAAATTACCAAGCGAGCTTTCTCGACTCCGCTTTGCCATCACTCATACCCTAAATCTCATCAGTTCCCTTAGAGAAAGTGATGATCATATGCGATTCTGTTAGACAAAGAATGCAGCACAGCTGAGGGAAAAGTAAACTAGAAAATTAGACCACATACTGCCCCTTATCTGCCATTCAAAGGCTTCGCACTTATCACAGTAGAAAAAATTGTAGCCTAACGTACAGATCCAGGAAAACGTTTGAGCATCTTATAATTTTTACGAACAATGAATTGAGCAAACTCTTGTTAACTATTTCTGATTATCAATAAATCTTTTATTTTTAACTACCAAATTCTATTGACCAAATTTAGCTTCTAACTTATAGACGAATCTCTAAAACCCTTCCATTAAAATAGAATTGCGGTGCAGTAAGCTGCATTCCTTAAGCCCTGGCTTAAAGACTGCTGGCATCGGCACAGCAAATAGCTCTCAAAACCTTGGAAGCTTTCTGCTAGACTATTCACTATTTAAGTTCAGTAAATAATCATTTGGCACTGAAAGCTTCTTAAATAAGTATGGTAATGTCCAACAGCACTAATGAATTAGTACGAAAGTGATATTTTAGGTATGAAAATTTTGCTTTGAAATCAATGTCAAAACCAAAAACAAAACAAAAACTTTATTTTTCCCTTATATTTAAATGGACCATGGCAAGGCGCTGAGTCTTTCTTGGGACTTTTCAAAAAGGAAGGAAGGTTGAAAATGAAATGATAACGCACTTGAATTAGTTGTTTATCATAGTAAATTGTAAGTTACTACTAAATTTTCTTAGCATCAGTACGTACCACTCGTAGGTATTTCTTAATGTCGAGGCGTTGGCAAGCCTGCATTCATCTCATCAAC